GGGTGGACCCCAAAGCAATATCCATCTTTTCAAAATAAACAACTTAGAAAATACCTGATTGAAAAATATCAAAAGGTCACACCCTATCTGGGTCAATATGGAGGGCGTTGAGTAACTGAGTAAAATCTTTTCAAAAGGGCAAGTTCATTTTGTTTTAATTTAATGTGGTTTAGCTTTAAAGGGTTTAAGCCAGAATCAATATATATATATATATATATCTTTTTCCTTTTTTTTGTATTATGTCACCGCTTCTACATTTTAGGCTATGACTAAATTATGCTTTATTCTTCATTAATCATCTAAATATTAACTATAGCCATGTGTAGCCTTTTAGCTTTGCTTTAAGCTAGAAGCATTATCAAAGAATGAGTTGGTTTGTGTGTTTTATCAACAAATATTGAAAAATATTGTGGGGGAGGATGTCCCTTGGGCATTTTGCTCCAAACCTCTAGAGGGCATCTGGCCCCAGATGTAAATGTTTCACATTTGCATAATAAAATCAATTTCAGATTTCATAACACAGATCAGTACAAGCCAGTAATTTCAAAATGAATCAATTCAAAAACAAAAGCAAAAACAAGTAAGCTTAACAAGTACAAATAGAAGTCTCTTCTAGGAAACGGTCAACTTAACTTAAGCTTTATTAGCCAGCAGCTGAGTAAAAAACAATTGGATCTGTATCCAAAAATCCCTGATAGCAGATAGCAGCCTTTCATTAATTTGTGTTTGTGTAAAGTGTATTGCATACTAGAGACTGGTGATATGTTAGAGATCAATGTTGACTTTTTGTTCTGTCAAATTTATGCTGTCAGGTGAAATAATCAAACTGATTTTAAGTTCAGTTAACTGTGTCCTACTATGCTTTTCATCAGGTAAATGCAAAAAAAAAAAAAAAAAAAAAAGTTTGTAGCTTTTCAGAGGTTCATACAATAAAAACTTACTATAAACACCACAATACAATTCCACTGAAAATGATTAAAGATTGAATTATCACCCAGTCCTACTATATATTGTACTTTGGCTATTATGGAGGTTCATTTGGACACCACATATATATATATGTATACACAGAATGATCGGTCATGAAAATGTTCCCCAAGTGTAACTCTCCCTCTGCCTCCAGCTTAACACGATATAAAGTAAAGAATCATCCATTGAGGATATTTCACTGTTTCCTCCAGGGTGCTCAGGTAATACAAATTCATTCAGCAGCAGTTGCTTTGAATGCTTAGACATCATCTGCATGTTCAGTTTTGCCTCACTCTAAAAATAGGCACTTCTAACAGATTTCTACTGTTCCTGTTTAACCTTACTGTAGCTCGATCTTACTCTCCACTGCCTGGCAGGATGTTCTGCCACACTGACAAATCTTTCCTTCTTGTGGCCAATAAAGGAACAACAACCTCCACCCGGATTCCAGATGATGTCATCTCTTGTGCAACTGGCACTTTATTGCATCTTGAATTTTCAATCAAACATAAAGTACAAGTGAACTAGAATGAAATCACGGCATTGAGATGATCAATCAGACCGATGATGTTCAAATATCTAAAATATTAAAGCATACGAGAAGAACTGCTGCTGCAACAGGAGGAAAGACTATTGATCTAAACAGTAGAAGAAAGATTTTACACATCTCCCACAAGCCATGTGCTTGTGATTATTTGAAGAAAATGTATTTGATTCAGACAGGCATACAGTTTTTACAATATTCTGTGCTTGAAATGAGTATAATACAGCTGCAGCTATAGGGTGCGTGTATGTATTCTGAAGACCAAAGATCATGCCATCAACTCATAGTCCCCTTCATGTTCCCTCAGGCTGAACAAGCCAACACAATCAGTCATTCAGCTGGTACAGAGGTGTCTGCTTCAGACAAGATCACCAGAACTGTGCCTCGTTGCACAGTTAGTTCCACAAAAGCGTCCCTCCGGTCCAAAGTGAGGTGACGCACTTTAAGCCAGTTTGATGGCACCCAGGAAGGTGGAGTCACCCTCCAGGGACACGTTGGCACTGGAACGAGGGATCAGCAGCTCCACGTGGTCCCCAGTCTCCAGCTTCACAATACCTGAGGGAATGGAAATGTATACTTCAGACCTTCAGATTTTCCTTTTTTCTTGCCACACACCGCTATCACCCATACCCATCTACTAATATGCATTTGCAGCCCTTCCACAGACAAGCTCATACACACACACAGGCTGGTTGACCTTCCATAACAGCTGTTATAAAAGGTTGAACATAGCTGGACATAAACAATAACACAGGCTCACCTCCTGTGTAGCAGGTGTTGAAAGGGGTGATGGGGTTCATATTCTGGATGCAGCGGAACAGGACCGGGTTGGGATACTCATTCCCCACCACGTTCCTCTTCCTCCGGATCACCACGTGACCCATTGCAAAAGTGCTGTCCATGTAGTAGACCTGAGCAGAAAAACTGGGTTAACTCTATGAGATACGGCGCAGGAATTTGTTTTAACAGTCAAGTGGTTGGTAAAGCATTTGCTACTTCATTTATTATGCATGCATCATTTGCATTTGCTCTTCTTTATTTGACCTTCCTTCAAGGTCTGTTAACCAAGTGCATGCCTACATTGAGCACACCCTTTTTTTTTCTGCTTTGTATGTAGACTGTTCACCTCCTATGTTAAATCCGGTGATTGGTAAACAGACTAGCAGCGCCCCCTTGTGAAAAAACTTTGAAATGACAGCAAACAGACCGACCTGACTGTACACAAAGTAGAAGCCCTCCTCTCTGACTAACATGGTGTCCCCGTCTACCTCCAGGGCAGTGCCTCTCCTCAGCCCAGACTGCCAGGGGATACCTGTGCACAGCTCTGATGAATATTCTGATTCAATAAATAAGAATATATTAGAAAACATGTCAAAGCACCTAAAAATGCATCCCAACAGTGCTGTCCCCAAGACTGTTTCAAATCAGTTACAGGAGTTGCTGGTTGGGGTTTCTGCATATTTGTTTATATATTATATTTTATTTAGTACTTTTAGTGTAAAATATATTTTCACTACTATAACAATGGGCATTTTAATGTCATGCTGTAAAATCCAATTAAAAATGGATATAAAATGGTGAAATGTAAATAAAAAACAACATCTATTTCAGAATCATAGCCCAGGCCAGACATACTGTACCTTTGCTGAAGGTTTTCCTGCTACGGTTTGCCAACAGCTGCAAGCAAGGTTGAGAAACTGTGAATGACAAAAGGAGAAATTTAAACATGTTACAACTGGTCAGTAGTTTCATAACAATCTGCACACAGCTTACACCACGGCTGTCTTTCTTTTTTCCTTCTGCTCTTTGCCTGTGTCCTTTTAGGGTGAAATTCCACTGACTCACTCAGCAGAAAAATATATGTAAATAAAAATATAATTATTGCACCCTAGGGATTGTTAAATAGCTCGACCTGATAGTGAGCATATTCACAGCATTAGTTGACGGTGCATCTTGTTTTTCACTGTGGTTATCACCAATGCTGATGAGTCATTCGTCAAAACTGGCGAGTGATTCACACTTATTATAGGTGGACAGTGTGCTCTGAAAAAGTGTCTAAGGATAGAATGTGCGTACAGATTGTAAAGAGACATTTTTTATGATTTAAGCTATATAAATTAACTTGACTTGAAAATGGAGTAGGGGATATCATAACAATAAAGAATATATTGAAGACCTTATGCACCATAGAAATGGAATCTGTCACTCTTTATATTATACACTACTATATTACTGTACTTTTATGCAAGTGAACTAATGCATTTGTAAAACCACTGCAGGAAAATGGAAGGCGCTACTCTCATACATGAACTGAACTGCTGAACTCAGGTCCAGCCTGCCGTGTCTTACCTAATGTCTCTGTTCCAGATCTTTTCCTCCTCATCAGGGTATAACCATGTTGAGACCCAGGTTGGTGAAGGGGCTCTTGGCTGCTTCTCCTGCTACTGATATTATCAGTCTGAACAGACACAATAAAGTCCTAAGAAAAAACAATACATGCTGGTAAAATGCTTGTCTCATGGGGTGCTTGTTGTTAACAGCCAGTAAGTAGTCTCTCACCTGGTGTCCATGCTTGGCCTCTCGTCCCTCTTCTCTCCTGCGACAGACCTCAGATTTGAGTCCCTCCACCTCAGCTCTGAGAGCCACCAGCTGGTACAGGGACAACGCTGAAAGAGAGGAGGAGGTGATAGCCGCTAGGGTCAGCAGGAAAACTGGCCAGGACAGCCTCCCTTCACCTGCCCTTTGTCCAGTCCCAGCTTCCACACCTGCCAAAACTGCCATCGTGGGGGCCATGCAATGCCCAGAGAGCTCACAGCATGACTCGTCTCACGCCTCAACTATGCTGCTGACTTGTGCTGGGTGAGTGGATGTTTGCGTTTGTCATCAATGTTTTCTCTTCAGCTTTACCTTAATTCCTGTCTAAATGTGCTCCTGATTTCTTTAATTCTCGCTTTTGTCCGTCCAGTAGCCAGTTCCAGTTCAGTCTGAGGGACTACGCAGAACAAATACAGTACAAAAAAGGGCAACACCGCTTCCTCTCTACTGTTCCGCTCAGCTAACCACACTCACAGCTTCCTGCCTGACCAGTGGCCCTGACAAATCTCTCTCCTTTTCTCTTCATCTTCCTCCCTCGTAAAATGATAAAAAATACATCTCAGCTTTACCACATTCTAGCAAACAGCCTGCACTGCAGAGCGGAAACAGGAAAAACAGCCTTGGCAGTTAGATGAGGTGACAATGGAAATAGGGGAGAGGTGTCAGACTAAGAAGGAGGAATAGATATAATTAATGACATCAGTACATTTGAATTTGACAGCTAGAGGAGCCAACACGTACTGAAAGAAGGAAGTGCAAAAATTACACCAACATAACACAGCAAAACAAACTAATTCCGAGAATATAAAAAGTGAAGTGATGCCAAGTTTCATAAATTAAATTTGGAAGCAGATACATTAAAAACAACAACAAAATCAAACGAGAAGAGCAATTTTAATGTATCAATTTATTGCATGTTACAGTACAGAAAATAGAAAGTGAAAATGTGTGCTTACAAAAGAAGTTGTCAACATTTGTTTGAAATAGAAAAGAAACATTACTCTAAATGGAAAATCCCTCAAACTGACTGCTTCATACTAAAGATAAAGATGAATAATTCAGATATCTGACTGTTCAGATATCCCATCAGTGTTTCTTCAACGTGGAGTCACTGCAAGTCACGGTAGATGTACACAAATCATGTCAACACTGTGCAGGTTCATTACAGTAATCACATGCCAGCTTTCAAATGCAAATTTCAAAATTATGCCAACACCTTCATCAGCATTCATCCCACCCTATTCACAATCATATGGACACATACAATATGTCCCATAGTGCATGTGCACAATACCTGGCAAATGATTTTCTTCATAGAAAAAAAATGAACAGACATTCAATTGTATTCCACTTCTTCATCAACAGTAATAACACATTTGGCTTGGATTAAAAAGCCAGTATTCTAGTTATGATTATTTTTAGGCCAGCCACCAAAAGAATAAATCACGTGAATGATGACAGGTTTCTACATGTTTTTTTTTTGAATGAAGAGATGGATGCAATGCAAAACAAAATGAATAGCAGAAGTGTGTAAAACAAAGCATATGGAACTAAATGTATAGTATTGTCACATGGTTTAATTGTACAATGTGCTCTACCAATATGTAATAGGATAAAAACCATACAATTCATCCAACTCAGCTTATGGATTTGATATAATACAAAAATGTCAGAAACTGTTCTGTGCCACTGGCGGCAAAAAGTCACACAAAAGGGAGAAAAGACTATTTATACATTAGTTCTTATAAAGCACACTTGTTTTACAACCACAATTTACATTCATAGAAGCCTCTAGACCGTTTTTTCAAGTTGTTATCACATGACACAAACAAATTTGGTCTTCTGATGTTTGTTAAATTTTGTTTATCATACTGTTTACAAACAGTATCAAATATGGCTAAGGAGATTGGTATTCAAATGGATTTGATACCACTGCAGTGCAGCATGCTGCATTTGGAAAGCAAGAGCAGATAACAGTGTTGTCAAGCTCTGCTCCACCCCCTGGAAGACATGCAGGAAAGGTTAATCAGCTCATTAAAAGCCCCCCAAGTGAGTAAAGCCATCTTGCCACATAAGCATGGGGTGAGACGAGGAACCCAGAGTTAACAATTGTGACGCTGATGATAATAGCGTACAAATAACCACAACATTTGATTACAAATGCTCACACTTTATTTTTGGTTCTTAAAGGACAGGTTTGGACTTTCTTAATACCATACTGTTCCCACAGGCCCATATAAAAGGTATGTTATAAGAGTCATGGCTGTAATAAATCCTCCTGTCTGTACTGGCCATTAAGGAATGGTGTGAGAGTCTTTTTCACACTAAATGTCTCTTCTGGAATTTGTTGATCTGAGTGGAGGATTAGTAAGGTAAAAAGGAAATGTTCTAAATATTTGGAAAATACCTTACATTTGATTTGCCTTAAGTCATACTGCTCAAACTCAAATTAGTTTCTGCTCAACTTTGGAATACGTTTTTACATAAAGAGACCCCAGTGTATTTTGTCCCGCAGCTCTTCCACTAGATTTACATAAGAAATGCATCTCTTCGCAGTCAGTATGGACAGGAGGATTACAGAGACCAATAACTCATAACTGCATTGTACATATGGACAGGCATTATAGTGCTGACTAAGACTTGAAGAAATCTGAAACCCATCCTTTAATAACAAACCACACACAGAGCAAATGCTTCTTACCAAACTACAGGCGCACATTTTCTCAACAGCAACTTGAGCTCATTTAAGAGGAAAGACTGCTGTGTGCTAGCTGTGTTTGAACAGAGCACAGTGACAGCGGCGTATCCCAGTCGCACTGAAACAGAAGTAGTTTGACAGGAAATAAGAACTTATTTTTGATAGGCGGAAGTAACAAACATGTCAACGTTAGCTTACTGACCACTTTATCTCAGCCAACACTTTTTGTGGCTGAATATAATTATTCAACAACAGTTTTTTTATGCTATTGTGCCAGACAAACTTTGTCAAGGGTATATATAAATATTGATCACTACAATGTCATTTCATGCCAAGCTGCTGCAAGGAGTCTAAATATTAATGTTCCTGACCAAAACGGGAGAGAAAAACAAACGACAAAAACAAAACATCCTTATGCCACTCAAAGTATTGCTCAGAAGATGTTAGCCTACATAACTCAACACTTGGGTAAGTCTGAACAAAAAAAGTGCAATGGATTAACAAAGATGTGTATATATATACAATATAGGCCTACATATTATCTGTGACTTTTTGTATATTAGGAGAAGTGTAATTTTAATTCCAGTAGTCATCAGTTTTCACTGAAATATTGACGGTCCTAATATGGTCATTATACGATTGATGATTTATATTCATTTCAGTAGACCCATTCCAGCTAATTCTTTTGAGGTTTGTGACATGTCCTGCAGTGTGGGCATGTATGCTCTGGCTTCATTCATAAAAAGGTCATAAATACATGCATTCATAGCTGCAACACAAAAAAGAAACCACAAGGGCTTTGTTACCCTCTCTCAAATCCTTGAAATAGTCAAATCATCTTAACAAATGTTACATTTATAGATAGGTAAAAAGAGTGAAATAAAGTAGGAGCCCAGACAAAAAAGCATAAAAAAATTTACATTCTTTCCAAAGGTCCTTCCCGTCAATTTCTGTGACAGATTTCAGATAATGGTGACACTAGCTGAGGGCTGAGCACTCTCCTCATGGGCGTGGCTCTTCAGCAGGTCTTTCATGAACTGCTCCAAAGCAGCGAAGTAGCCCTGACACTGCCACGTGTCGTTGTGTGTGCCCTCTGGAAAGATAGCCAGGCGTTTAGTCCGCGCAGGGGACAGCTCATACAGTTGTTTCATCATGACTGGCGGGATGAGCTGGTCCGACAGACCGGACACAAACAGTGAGGGCATGCGGCACAGCACCACCTGCCGATAGGACAGGAACTGATTCCTATAGCACCACAAGGGCAGCAGGCGCATGGGCAAGAAGGAGAAGAGTGTCGCTGCCATGTGGGGGATGCTGAGGAAGGTGTTTTCAACAATAATGGCTGCTACGCGGTGAGGGTTGACTGACGCCAAGCGCACGGCCACGGCGCCCCCCAGTGAGCGGCCAAATAGTACCACCTTTGTTTTATCCAGATCAGGACGGGTCATGACATAGTCCAGTGTGGCCTCGGCATCCAGGTACAGCCCATCCTCACTGGGCTCACCCTCACTCTTTCCATAGCCGCGGTAGTCCACCAGCACCACGTTGGCTTTCAGATTGACCAGCATCAGCAGAGCATTTGGCACCCTGTGACCGATGTTACCAGCGTTGCCGTGGAAATAAAGGATGGTAGGTGGAGCAGAGGAAGCGGGGCTGCTTTGGTTGCCCGGGGTGACTCCTGAAGGCGTGTCCCCTCCCGTGTAGCGAAGCAGGATGAGGTTAAGCTTCACACCGTCCTTGGTACGAATGTACACGTTCTCGTGTGGGATTCCTGTTGGCATGGGAACGTAAAGGCGAGAGGAGGAGGGCTGGTCGGGGAAGTAGAGGAGCACGTCCTGAAATTTGTAGAGGATGCCCGCTACAGAGGCTAGGATAAGAGCTAGGAGAAAGAATCCTCCATACAGGTGGAAGGTGAGGATGAGGGCCAAAAGGGAGACTCGACAAGCACCCCAGGACCAGGAGGCCACAGTCAGGGTACAACGCTCCACTGCCCCCCACAGCCTCCACGGCTTCTCCATGGCTACACAAGAGCTGAGTCACACGACACACACTCTGTAAATACAGAGAGAGCAAAAAGAAGAGAACGAGGGAGAGAAGGGAAAGTGGTTGAATATAAATGGACATGAGCAAGACAAGTTTTAGAGTATCTATAAAGAAATGGTCTAACAAACAACCTAAAATATGAAGAAATACATTAGATACAGAACATCTGTCCAGCATCTGTACCTATGATATGTTACCAGAGCTCGAAGTGATGGTTACAAATTGCTAAATGAATCTAACAATCTGAGAGTACAATGACTTCAATAAAAGCAAAAAACTGTTACGTATCTGGTATTTTTATGGGGAGTTAGCTCAGGAACAGTCTGTGCCATTTCTGTATGTTATATAAATTCTATTTAAGGAGTCACTGGCAGTACATTACATTACATTAGATATATATGGAAATGGAAATGCTACAAGTACTTACTTTTATTTCTTTACATTTTACATTTACATTTATTAAAGCTCATTTAATACTTCTGAGTGTATGTAAGCTTATCTTTGGTAACACCAACAAAATGTATGTACATTTATTTTGCAGAGTCACTTCTATTCTGAAAATGTTAAAGATATCTAAACAGATGTGTGAGGCTAACTTCAGGAGTTGACAATAAAAGCATTAAATTAAGCAGTGTAAATACATTTTATACTGAGGTAAAATATGATCCTTTAAAGCCGACTGCCTTACACTAAGGCCATTATACCCCTGACAACTATAAACTGATTAACACCCTCATAGCCAAAAAGTCATTTGTGCTACCAATTCTGTCACAGCTTACTGGGAACAGCACAGTCCATTTCAATCCTGTGTTCGGGGAAAACAGCAGGGGACACCATGTCCACCACCTACGTGCCAGCTACAAGTGCAATAGCAATCAGTCCCAACAATCACTTGTCTGTTGCAAGGGTCCTTAAAGACCCCAGCAAAGCATACTTTTCATCTTCTCCTACTGGACTTCTACCTGATTGGGCGGATCAGGTGTGTTCAGCCAATTCAAGGGCTGGTGAACTCTTGATCAACTGGAAACCATAACTTGCCAAATAAGGTGTAGAAACAGACAGGTAACCCAGATGCAGTGGTGGGGCTCTCCAGCACCAGAATGACCGTCACTGAAGGGAATACGTTCAACCCACGTACACTGTTGCTGGGAACAAACTGAGGATACAAACATTACAAGACTGAACCGTGTCCTGACCCCACCCACAGAGAAGAGACTGTGACAGCTGCTGTCAACCCGGTGAAAAGCACTTAACTAACCACGTCAAACACCGAGAGGACTGGTAACAGTTAGCGTTTAATGTTTCCGGCTGCTAACTGTCACTAGGCAATGTATTTCTGGACTGTCTAAACGAGCTGCCAACCCAGACACGGTGATGCACCACGCTTTGAAGGTGCACACCATAAAACCGAACTAACCCTATTAAAATAAACCTTAGTTAACTGCGAGTTAGCTCCAAACAAAAACAGGCGTGCTAACTATCAAGCTATCCTTTGCTGCCATCGCTGCTAGTGCTATTAGCAACGTGAATAACGTTATCTCCTCCATAAGGCAGACACATACTCACCCTTCTCTCATTTTAAGCGCCTCAGCTGTGTGAAATTAAGAAGCCAGTAACACTGTGGCAGCACAGTCACTGTCATACAGCTCTGTTGTCAGCGGCTGACTAGTTGAATTAACAATGAAAGTTAACTATTGAGAACGCAAGGTGAGTTAACTGTCAGCACGAACCGGCGAGGCTAGCTACAAGGCTAGCCACACAGCTGGTTAGCATTTCTGGTGTAACCTTCATGAGTTCCGTGTTGGAGTCGGCACAAGACGCAAGGTTCCGCGGGACAAACAAACCTATCTTCTTCGACGTTTAAGGAAAAGCTGGCTGTGTGGATTTACTGCCATCTTCTGGAGTTTCTTTTTCTTTTAAATCTCATTACTTGATGCTTTAACAATATTGTCTTTGTTACACTCATGCCGACAAAGCGTACTGAATTAAATGTAATTGCTTTTCCTATTCTGGTGTGAAGTGCACCGCACTCTATTTTGAATTGAATGTAAATATATTCTGCTTATTTCCTGAACCCAGAACTGTTAAATGTCAATTAAATGTACTGCCATTATTTCAGATACTAAATCTTTAAACTGAGTTGCAATGTCTTACAGTGCAGAGATAACTGGGTGCACCTGATTCAAGAATGGACCGAATAGACACTAAACCACTGCAGACTAGAGCTTTGTTTGGGTTGATTTGTTGATTCTAAAGCCATCATATTGTGCAACTCAGCAGTACACACTTAAGAAACTTCTCTTCTAAACAAACTTGTCCTGTCTCAACAGGGCACACTCAGGTGAACTTCTTATTTCTCCTATAATCTAAAAGCCTGGGCCTGGATCACATCTAATCTTTCAAGTTAAGGTTTTTATACAGAGCCGTAAACTGCACTTTTCGGGGTGGGCTTTTATTGCCTTTAATCGATAGAGACAGTCTATTGAGAGAAGTGGAATATATTATGCATAGGTATGTTTTCATTAGTGTATAATCATCTCTATATAGGAATCATTATGATTTTGTTACCTTAGAATGAGCTGTTTATATCTACAGACACTGCAGGCTGCCTTCCATGGAGGCGGCCATGTTAAACAGCCACATTTCTACCGTAGCCCTGAAGGGACAAACCAAACACTGGCTCTAGATGGGGGAGTTCATGTTTTGTGCACATTTTGTGGCCACCGCCGTTGTTTCTCCTTCAAGGAAGATGAAGCGAGGGAGTTGAAATCCCACTGAATCCTACAAACACATAAATATCAAGGATGCAATATCGGCTCTCTGGCCAGACTAAAGGCATCTGATCCTATCTATAACTTCAATACAATATTTTAAATGTTTCCTTCTCCATGATAACCTTCATTCAAAATATAAAATCCAATATGCCTCAACCGTTTAAATTATTTCTGTAGTTTTGTTGAAAATGTATGTACCACACCTGCAGGTCATGCAATGTGTTGAAATACTGTAACAGAGAACCACTACCAATATCTCATGTGAATCATAAAAAGTCATGTCATACACAACACAGCACACTGGGTATTAAAAATAGTGGTCTGATCTAAAGTTGAGCAATCACCATTGCATGTGCTATTTGATTTTTGCCCACCAGGTGCTGCTCTTAGAAAGAATATAATCAGGATAATTCACAAAGTGAAGGTTGATTGTATGTTAACAGAAAGTGTATTTAAATTAAAGTCACTGGGATGCTTCATGAATAATCAATAATGCTATGCTATAATGTACAAATAGATAGGGAACTGTAGCTATCACTCATGCATGACATATAGCCAAAACAGGACGTTTGTTTTCCCTGTTGTGTTTTTGATGTTGATTTAGGCCTACAAGAATCAGCACTGACCTCTACAAAGCCCTGTTCCTGGAATAGAGGGTCTCAGAGGTAAAGACTGTTGTCATCCATCCATTTCCTAAATCATGATCCTAATATAAAGTATAACTTAGTTATGTCAGCCTGCTGCTGTGATCTACACAGCAGGCTATAAAAAACATGCTTTTTAACTGTTGGTGGAGTCAGAGTTGACACATCTCAGCTTACAAAAGTGGGTCAAATTGTAGATGTGACAGCCGTAACACACTGGGCTGCTGACAGGTAGTACTGAGAGAAATGTCCTTGAATGAAATGTCCCTTGATGAAAGAACAGCAAAGGCAGAAAGCCTTGTGTTAACGTGCACACAACGATCATCTCAGGGCATCTGAGGTCAAAACAACAGCAAAGGTGGGATGAGTAAGGATTTGAGCAGACTGTGACTGTATGTGCTCGTACGGGTAATTGCTTTATGATTATCTCTCAAACGAAACAGAAAATACAATCATCACATGCCGAATATGAAGCAAAAGGCTTGTAAAATACACAATAGAATATTATACGTTGATATTTTTCCTCTCTTCCGAGGTAGTTTATTGGTATTGCTGTATTTAACATCTTGCTCATACTTAGTGTGACCTTGGAGGAGACAGACAGATTATGTGTAAACTAGCACAGCTGTTGGCCGTTCAGCTCTGTCCTTGAAGTTCATTTGACTCTGTGGTGTCGAAGTCAGCATCAAAACCCTAGCTGGAGCATGCCTCTATTCTGTAAGATAAAACAGGCTACCAAAATTAAGTCAGTATGAACCTAAAATATAATTGGCGTATGAAAACATGAATTATTGTTGGGGCAGAAGTGCTGACACTGGCTATAATTGGGAGGTTTGTTATACACTACTTTGGAGGAGGTGATTGTTGATGTGACCACACGTATAAAATGATGGGACCATTGTATACTATGTCATAACCGCCCATGTAAAGTAGGTAGATGCACAAATTGTTATCTTATCAGAAATGTGTAGATGATATTGTGGTTAGCATTCAATTCAATTCAATTCAATTTTATTTGTATAGCACCAGTTCATAACAGAAGTTATCTCAGGACACTTTTCAAATAGAGCAGGTCTAGACCGAACTCCTTATAACATTTACAGAGACCCAACAGTACCACCATGAGCAAGCACTTGGCGACAGAGGCAAGGAAAAACTGCCTGTTACGAGGCAGAAACCTTGGACAGACCCTTCGGCTCTAGGTGGGTGGTCGTCTGCCTCGACCAGTTGCATGCAGACAATTTACCTGGGAAACTGTAGGATTTGATATTCATCTAAGCATTTTTGACACAGCACACACACACACACACACACACACACACACACACACACACACGGTAGCTTGAAGAAAGTTTTAAAGCGAATGGTGTTACAGCTAGTTTTTAAGAACTAGAGCTCCAGCTGTTGAGGTAATACACCAAAATCAAGTTGAGAGAGATTATGTTAGGCTACAAGAAAGCTATAGATACATTTGCAATCTACTAAATGTACTTGTTAGCTAGCTCAGGCTAACTACTTGACAAACAAAACCAGACTGTTAGCCTAACTGTGTTTTGATGACTCTATTTTATGTAGATTTCATTATTATCATATACTGATTTTATATAGTGATCAGTTAACCAAGTGAGTTATTAAATGGATGTTAATGCCTTTTGACTTGGCAGGACACCGTATTATTATGCAGACAATTCAAATGCAGACTAGCTTAACTTCCAAAAAAAGTGTCAAAGGTCTAGAGATTTTTTTTCCCAGTATTCTGCAACAATTCATTAAAATGGACAACACAAAAACTAGGAGGTCATTTTTCTCAGTTATCTTCTTTTGCCTTTGTAGGGCAAAAGATGTTGAGTCTTTTTAATGTTTTTTGCTGGTAAAACACTCACAGAACTACATTTAATGTAAGAATCCACGTTTGAAAAAGGCCTTTAAAAGGAAAATGGTTTCTTTGAACTAAATTGGAGAAAACAGATTGACCTTAAGATTATGTCAACGTTCCATTCATTATTTGGACTCTAAATAAATAAATAAAAGAGAAAAGCTAATAACATAGAATCATAGTGAAGTGGCAATGCAATGTATGACACACACACACACACACACACACACACACACACACACACACACACACACACACACACACCCTTGTCTCTTTAGGTTATAGGGAGTGCTGCATTCTGATGGGTTCAGCTTATAAGAGACTGACAGCTGGCAAGTTCACTCTTCCCTATACGACTCAATTACCTTTGACATGTCAGTCAAAACATCTATTACATACACACACTCAAACTCTCATACACACTTATAGTGGCACACTCTGTGTCTCTGCTCTCGTATTCCCACGACTCAATTACTTGATATATAACACTCCAAACAGCTGGAGGGCCGGAGCTCAATAATACAAAGTCAGAGCTGCAACAGGACGAGGAGTGACTGTGATGACCTGGCTGGGAATATCATATCATCAGGCCAAGGGACATACTTATCATTCACCTCATGGCATGCACCCAGTGGCCAAGCTATTGATACGCTATTGATTTTTCTGTCAGTCAACATCTTTTATGACTGGCTGCTGTGACTTAATCCCTTCATGTGTAAGAGTTGCTACTATTGCATTTTTGCTGGGTTTGTGAAAGACGTCGTTGAGCTCGTCTGACATCATCATGAGTGATGCCTCTTTGATTTGCAAGTCACTGAATGCCATGCACAAGGTGATAGATGTAGTGTCCATGGCTACAATGTAAATGTGTTGTCACCTTGGAGACAGAGCATTGCTTTGAGTCAGAGAGGGACAGCTACATAATGGCATCTCTTTATTTTAAACACATTGCAGAGGAGGGGGTAAATGCAGCCACAAGTTACCTGTCAGCTCAGCACAACATTACACTGGCTTTTTTTGCTCGCAAGCTAATTTATAATTAACAAAGTGAGAGCTGCTGTAGCTCCTATGGCTCTATTTTAGTGCCAGTCAACATGGTTTAATGAGATTGTACATTGTACAGTGATGGCCTAATCAGCTAAGTGAGATAGACAGACCTACCTTGCATTGTGGATGTGCAGCAAAGAGTACCCCATACCCTATGCCTGCCAGGAATAAATTGGGTGGAAACTGCTGTATGTCTCAGGCAGCAATTAGGAGGCCTCCTGTGGGGAAGAGGCAGATGTTTAATAAAGGCTACATTTCCTTTGCAAATAAACCTCCTGTCACACCTATGATGATATCTATCACTCTAATTAACCTGCAGATATACTGTAGGTTTATGCGAACACGTGTCTATGTGGGTGCGTTGTGGCTTTTGTATTCGGCCTGACACCTCTGGGCCACCGTAGTAAAGGATTAGGTTAAAGAAAGAACCAAAGCCATTCAGTGA